AGAATTTTTCTTTGTCCCACGCTCGTGTCATGTTGATTAATTCACCTTCACATCAGTGATGGCCACGCTATTTTTTTACCTGAGTAAATGAACAGGATGTTGGCAAAAATTTATGCCCACCTATGAATGAGTAATTTTCGGCATGATATGACTGAGCATTTTTGTCAGGGGCATTAGAATGTCTTGGTAGGGTAGGGAAGGGAAGGGGCAGAATGGTTACAACCTGGGTAATCGTCATCATTATTGTCTGTTTCTCCCAGTGGAGACTGAATTGGGTTGTAACCTACATGTACAAAGGACATGTGCCTGGATAATCACACTAGATGAACTACATGTACTTCAAGTGTTGTTTATGCAGTGTTACATGTACATGTAACAGTATTTCTGCTTTTGAGCCACAGTGTATATATACCAGGGGTATCAATAACATTTTTTTGCAGGAGGGCAAGTGGTTTTCAAAGGCAGGCAAAACTTTTTGAACTTAACTTTCTTATAAGAAAACCTTTCTTCTAGATGGTCAAACCAGGTGGGCAAAATCATCCTTGCAGTCAGTCAAGTTACCTGGTCTCTGGTCTTTAATGAAACCCTGATACACTACATGAACATGTTGTCTGAATATGGAAAAAGCAGGGAGATGGGCAGGATAACTTATCAGCAGGGTTCCAGATAAGATTTTAAGGCAGGGTGTCAATAAGGAGTCCCATCAGGTCAATTCCTACTGATCCCACCAAAGCATTAAAAATTTTGAATCTTTTCATTTGTCGGGTCATGTAGCTGATCTTGTTGGGTTTTTGACCTGAGACCCTCACTTATCTGGAACACTGTATCACCAATTTTAAATTGTTAAGTTAAGCTTTAAAATTGTTCATTTTGAGATACTTGAAGGATGGTGTGTCTAGTTAAAAAAGTATGGTTATGAAACTTGTCTTTAATTTTCAGGCTTGCAACCCCTGGTGCTGGCAACAACCTGTGTGGCTATATTTCTTCTGACTATATCTTTGATAGCATAAAACATAATAGACTGCAAGATTTGGAAAAATACAGGTGAGTTTCCTAAACATGTTTCTGTATGGATGTTGTAGTTCTGCAGTTTAGTAGTCTTATATTTGCAGGTGTCAGCCTTTCAGTTACTTTTGTTAGCCAGTAGTCTGTGGTATTTTGCTGCCTAAATTACACTTTTGTTATGAAACATTACTTACATTGCAGTACTTATCTGCAAGCTTGACACCTGATACCATATTTACATGTATGCATATAAAGTTTGATGAGGCATATACTTTGAATTGTGTGTCTTTGTTTTGAAGTATGAAGTCCTTGGATGCAAGTGCACATGTAACAAGTTCAAAAAGCGACAGGTAATCTACATCATCAAATATGACAATTTCACCATCATCGTAAGTTTTGCACAGTCACTAATAATTGTAATTTCTATGTATCTTTTTTTATGGCAAATAAAAATAAATGAAAATAAATGAAATAGATTAATTGTAACAAACCAGTCCCTACTGATGATCTCAGCAAAATAGACAATAAACTTAATAAGTTAATTGGATTAGTTACATTTTGAACACAATACAACTGATCGGGTTAATCTTTGTTCTATATTCAATGCAGTTAAGTGCAATTTAATAGAGTTAGCGACAAAGATTGCTTGCGTTCCCGTAGTTGTCAGCGGTGTTTTGATGTGTGTATGCACCAGGATTCCATGTGCTACTGGATTGAGATGTGTTGGCGGCCTTCACAGCAATAGCATTTACAGTAAGCATTGTTTTGCATGGGAGCACATCTTGGAGCATTCCCCCTCCCCTCCCTCCCTCTTTCCATTGTTAATTCAGTGTGATAGGTGCCTCTCTCCCCTTCTGTGTGGGGGCTCATGGCTTGGTTTCCAGCATTCGCCTGCCATGGGAGCGGTCTCCATCTAGGACCCGGCCGCCAATAGTGGAAGCTCGTGGATGTCTCAGTTGTTGTCTCAATACAGTTGTTAATTTATACAATTATCTTTTTTTAGAAGGAGGAAACATGAAAGACGTAGATACACTGTTCAAGAGGATTTGGTTCTCATTAAGTTTGTAAAAGAACATGTTAACTGCTGTCCAATGAAAGGAAACATTTTATATAAGAAGGCTGAGAAGGCAAAGGTGTGATGACATGTACTACATTGTACTTAACTGAATGTTGTGAATGTTGGTTTACTTGTACAGTAGTCCAAAACAAATACTGTAATGACAAAGAAAAATAATATTGCTATTAGCTGTTATTCCTAGATTCTTTTTTTCATGAGGTTGTCCCGGATTATATGTATGGTGTATGTACCTGTAGGTACAAATATATACTGCATATAGTAATGGCTAGTGCTCAGTACCAGCTATTGACAATAACTAAAAATCCCTGCAAATTATGACAATGCAAGTTCTACATCTAAAGCAGAATCCCGATTTCTCAAACCCTCATTTTTTCTAACCTCATGATAACTTGAAGCAAAAGTCATTTCCCTCTCCTCAGTCGAACACTGTAATTTTACCCCCAATTTCTCAAACTGTCCAATTTTTCCAACTAATTTTCGTTTCCCTTGGAGGTTTGAAAAACCAGGATTCTTCTGTACATGTACATTTACTTTTTTGTATTGCTGCTTTATGGTGTTTGAATCTGTATTTCTTTTTCCATTTGTACTGTAGATTACAAGTCACTCATGGCAGTCCATGAGGAAGCGCTATCTCAAATATTTACAGAACAAGGAACACGCTGATCTTTACATTAGAACAGGGACTCTGAAAAGTTTTGTTGGTAAGTGGTTGAGGTATTTTCTTTTTGCACACTTAGGCTTTCAAAAAATCCCTAGATGAAAAATATTAACCTACATGTAGTTTTTGTGGGTTTTTTTAGATCCAGGTTAACACAAATTATCCTGAATTTAAATTTGACCTGCAGCATATTTAATATATTATACATGTTACAGGCCAAACCTATAAAAAAAAAAAAAAGAAATTGCATAAAAAGAAGTATGAAATGATAATTTAAATTGTTTTCCGCTATCACAGGAGAGAAGAAAAAAGTCAGGAGAGAAGAAACTGATAATCCGTCTACACATAATACGACAGTGGACAAAGGTACATGTATATATATGTTAGGTCAGGGTCTGAAATTGCGCTTTCCTGGTTGTCAATNTTATGTTGAATGTTTTAGAAGCAAAGATCTTTCAATGTGATTTTCTAGAAGGACATAATGTGTGACAAAAGAACCATTATTGATGTCAACACAGAGAAATGTAGTTGCCATTATGCCGTATTATGGCGACTAAACCAGAATTTTAAGTCGCCAAGGATGAAATGCTTGTTGCATTGGCGACCATATCAATCACAATTTTGAGCCCTGGGGTGGGTTTTAAAATATTATGCCTGAGTTAAGCCTGCAGTCTTGTAAGAGGAAAGGGCCAAATTGGCCCTTTTTTGTTTTTTCTGGGGGCCATCTCTGATTTAAACGCGGGATTCCCGCAATGGCGCGCTCTGGCGCAAACACTGTTGCCATAGTTCGTTAGTTAAATGTAATTAATGTATTCTTGTTAATATTAGTGTATTTTCTAATTTTTCACACGACTCCTAGGAAGAGCATTTTTATAATAAGATTTTGTGTTTTAAATAAAGATTGATGATGATGATGATAATTTGTGACAGTTATATGAAATGTCAAAAAGACAACTGTACTGGAGAGCAGATAACAAGCACCTGGACTGGGCACACACTCAACAAGTGTATTTTGTCTTCATTATCATAGGCCAGGAATGGATACCTAGGGGTGAGACATCAAGAGCAAAGCCTAAAATTGGTGATAAAGACAAACATGTGGCAACAGATGATACAGAGGATACAAATGCAGGTATTGATAACATTTACCTGTAATGCACACAATTTTAAAACTGTTTTTTCACTTTAATTACTTTTTTACTTTCAATTGGCTGAAATGTATCTACTGTAGTTGTATCAAGATAACACTTCTATTTGTTCTTCTGCTTGTTGTAGATTACTTACCAGATGAAGCAAGGGCTGACAATACAGATGATGAAAACAGTGCTGCTGAAGATGTGGATTATGATAAAATATTTGATGACAATCTTCTTAAACAAGCTTACGAGTATAAGAAAAAAAGAGATAGCAGTGAGGTGAAAAATGATGTAGCTGAGGATCAAGATGTAGATGTAGATAGCAGGGTCTCGTCAAGCCAGGAAATGGTCAACAGGGCAATAACGAGAAATGGGAAGCGACCAGTGAATGAGGAAGAAAAACTGAGTGACTTTGATGGTGAGATTGTTTTCAGAAAGGATTTTAAAAGTCCATCAGCAAAAAAGTCCAACTCAGAAGACGAGGAAGACAACAAGAAGCCCATGGCCAAGAGAAGCAAAAGAGACTTGGAGTCTTTATCAGATGATGAGAATCCCTCTGAAAAGGAGAAAAAACTGCAAGAGGCATTTTTCAAATTTTACAATGCATTTCAAAGTAACCTCCAGGTATGAGTATAAGGAAAAAAAAGAGTCCCATTTGAGCCAACTAATATTTCTACACCCTATCCTTAACCCATTTGCTTGAAGCGTTGTTATTTAATTGTTAAACTACAAAGGTGCAGTTAGTAATCCTTTCAACCTCAAGCCTACATCTGTACAGGTACATATGTAACAATTGCTACACTGTAGTTGTGTGTAGTAATTTTTCTCATTGTTTGCCCTCCATTTCTTTTAATTGTTACTTCTACAATTATTATAATTCTTAAATGTACATGTATAAAATCAGATGATATTTTGTTACACTATTACAGTTCTTGATAATGTATCAGATGCAGTAATTGTTTTGGAGACTATGTTCCTGGCAACTGATGTCTTGCTTTTGAATAATTAAATTAGACTCACTGACAAGGGAAATTGTTCTAATGCCTTCACAGTTTGGATCAATGGACGAATTTGGCTTTGAATGTGTTTACATTCTTGTTGCCACAAAATTCAGCTCATGTGATGATTCATTTGCCGCTAGGAAAAGTGCCTTTTTTTGCATACGTTATTTCTTGAAAACGAAGAGCAACCCAGCGAAAAAAATTACAGGGCAATACTTTCAGCTGATATGAAGTCCACATGCAAAATTTCAGCTAATTTGAAGCAAAAACAAAAAAACAACCAAAATCGTCACTTATCCCCTTTTATGACTAGCTCCTTCAATTGTTTCATTCATGCATACTCCAATGCAATCACTTGCATTTGGCAAATTGCTCAGCAAGGATGTAAACACATCAGCCAAAACTGTCTGTATTTGTAAGGAAAATTAATAGTGAACAAATTNCTCCAGGTATGAGTATAAGGGAAAAAAAAGAGTCCCATTTGAGCCAACTAATATTTCTACACCCTATCCTTAACCCATTTGCTTGAAGCGTTGTTATTTAATTGTTAAACTACAAAGGTGCAGTTAGTAATCCTTTCAACCTCAAGCCTACATCTGTACAGGTACATATGTAACAATTGCTACACTGTAGTTGTGTGTAGTAATTTTTCTCATTGTTTGCCCTCCATTTCTTTTAATTGTTACTTCTACAATTATTATAATTCTTAAATATACATGTATAAAATCAGATCATATTTTGTTACACTGTTACAGTTCTTGATAACGTATCAGATGCAGTAATTGTTTCGGAGACTATGTTACTGGCAACTGATGTCTTGCTTTTGAATAATTACATTAGACTCACTGGCAAGGGAAATTGTTCTAATGACTTCACAGTTTGGATCAATAGACGAATTTGGCTTAGAATGTGTTTACATCCTTGTTGCCACTGAATTCAGCTCATGTGATGATTTCTTTGGGAGTTTACAATTGTTTCATTCATGCATATTCCAATGCAATCACTTGCATTTGGCAAATTGCTCAGCAAGGATGTAAACACATCAGCCAAAACTGTCTGTATTTGTAAGGAAAATTAATAGTGAACAAATTTGTCACGATACATGTAAGTATAGAGAGTGACATAAGACAAGACTTTACATTAGAACAAGGCTGAGCAAATCTTTCTCAAGATAATTCAAGGCTGTGGTCTGAGAAAAAGTACAAGGAGCCCAGAGGTTCCTAACCATGAAATCCTGGGTGCCCAACACTTAAGCTTGTATGAAAAAGTAAGTTTTTCCAGTCGCACAAAGGAAAAAGCTAGTTGCCTGTGGCATCCAGGCGCCTCTAGAGCACAGCCCTGGATATTAAAGAAATTTAAAGGCATCACATTTGATCATTGCAGAAGCTGGATGGGCTTACAGTACCACAGATCATCCATGCTTTGCTTGTTACCTCTGGATATTTAGACGATGCAGAAGATTATTCCCAAAATGGAAAAGGTTTGTTAACATTTTACCTATTGTAATTGATCTACAGCCAGTACCTAATGGCATCTCTATAATGCGCAGCCTTGCAATTTGAATCAAAGCACATTGTGCTTACATTGCTACATGTAACATTATCAGACTATGAAGGCCTGTTATGCAGTCTGGGATGCTGCCAAGAATTGTACCTGTCTTCTGAATGGGCTTAGACTGCTGTCAGTCTGTTTTTCTCTTGAAATTCAGCAAGGGTTATGAAGTGACATGATTAAGCCTGAAGGGTCCCTATACTCTGCCATACCACCCTTTTGCACTCGAGATGGCTAAACACATGTCTATGTGACCCTAAGAGAAAAGACCAGCTGCCAGCCATCTAGAATAGGCTCAAATTCTGCCAAAGTCACATTTGGTACTTATATGGCCTTGTTTGTGTGATATAGGAACGCTGTTTTTCAGTAAAGCCTCAAAAGCTATGATCCTAACTCCTGTTTCTGTAGCATGAAGCAGCTGCTGAGTATTGCTACTCCCCTGGATGGCATTGGGATGTTAGCCACAGCAAGTCCATCTTAGCTTTCTCCCCAGCATTCATCCTTGGAGACCAAGGGGCAGCTAGTCAGGATGATGCGATATTTTGAACAGTAAACTTTTCTCTGAAGATACTGTATGACTTGGCCTGACTAGCTGCCCATGGGTCTCTAAGGATGCTAGAAAGAGGTACTGTAATGTCAGAGTGAAATGTCTTGCCCAACAGACTGAGTGTGGCAGTGCTCAAATCCACTGACACTGCTTGATCCTGAGTCCAATGCACAAGCATTAGCATATCCTTCCAGAGGAAATGAAGCCTGTTTTAAATTCTCTTATTGGCAGGTAAAGAACAATGGACATCAAAGGAAGACAAGATTTTGCTGAGTAAAAACAAGGATGACATTTCCAGGCTTACCAAGAAGAGGGGTTTAAATGCTGTTATTGACAGGATGAACTTCATGGAAGGCATCAATTAAATGTCACCACCCACTGCATTGCCAGTTGGGTTTCATTGACAACAGACAGTTGTGTTTTACATAATCAACAGCACCCTGAAAGTTGTTAAGTTAAACTAAATTTCAAAACTACGTCTCAAACTTTAGAGTGTGATGATTTTTTGAGGCGGATGCTGTGCATTTTTGTCCAATCAAATAGGTGTTTTTTGGCCTGGACTCATAATACAGGTTTCATAGTTTCAGTTGGTTTTTAGTCACTATAAACTAAGAACAAGAGGATATAGTGTTTCAGGATACCTACTGTTCTTTCCTACTGAGCTATAAAATTGTCACATAAGTGCACATTTCAAAAGGCTTTACAAATTTGGACTGATCTGGCTGACTGTTCACTGAAAGTAACCATGGCTATAAGTTAAAAAGCCTGTCTCGTTTTTAAAAATTGGATACTCTTCATACCATGAAGTCCACATAATAAGTCCTAAATCAACATAATTTGTAAGCTTGTGGATTCTATTTTGCTGGGAGGGGTGGTATAATCAGAGGGATCAGGGGGTTATTATCATAATTTCATGACATTTTAATTCCTCAGTAGCAAATGTAAAGCTTGAAGGAAATAATCTACATTTGCAGAGCCTATGCAAAAATGCATCAAAGCAAGATTGCCAACAATCATGACACTACAAACTACCACAATTTCTAAAAGAAAGATGATGTAGCATAGTATAGGAGTTGCCTTTCCATTCAAACAAGTATCTTGAGGTAACCACAACGACACTTTTAATAGTTTCAGGTGAAAGATGAAAATATGTGTTCACATTATTTAAATAAAACTTCAAACCTTTCAACATTGAAAACTTGAATATTTATTTCTGTTTATTTTTAACTGAAAAAACTCTATGGATATCTACATTTTTACAAAATTAGTGTATTAGAAAATACAAGTAAGAATTTATGTTAATATTGTATAGAAATTCTAAACAAAAAGGGAGATTGTTGACATCTCTTCCATATGTGATGGAAAACTATGACAAGTTTTTACAATAAAAA